AGGGGTGTGGGCCCTCATGTAGCCACTCCAGATTGTCTAGTTTGGGACAGGTACAGATTGATAGCATTCTCCAGCTCCTGCATCCCCTGCTTGTTACATTCACACTGAAGGTGGCAGGGTCGGAAAGCTCTCCTCGCAGACTATTTTGCACTTCTTGCACCTTAGCTAAACCAAGGAGTGTAACATTACAGTGTTCCTGAAGATGTAATATTCATGTGTTTATCATAGTCAATTAAAAATTTGAACTGGCTTTCAAATTCCACATCATTGCTGAGACTTATCATACCTATGGTATCCTTGCCAGCAGGCAGTACCATAGTTATTGGGGTGGGTGGCAAAGACAGGGGACACACTACAGGCAAATGATTCTAAAAAGAAATAATTTCACTTGCCTCAATAGCTCTCCTGAAAATCTTTGCTTTGAAGCCTTATTTACTTCAGAGTGCTTTAATTTGTAAAGCCAATGTGCCTGTATTTTGTATAATAGTAAATACTGAGAGTATTGGAAGGTAGTTTCAACAGCTGTGACTTATTTTTAGTAATCATGCTATGGGCTACTCTGGTCATTGTATAAAATTATGAATTATTAAAGAATAGAGCAGATTCTCCAATTTCCAAATAAAATTAGTCTTGTAGATATGAAGAGAAACTGGTCTGCTCATGATTGAGACCAAAAATTTAAAACTTTGTGGCACATAAGCAAGTACTAAGTAAAACCAAAGTTGGTAAAGACATTAAAGCCAGTTTAAAGTGCATTTGGATATTTCTTTTTTATTTTTTCCTTGAAGGTACAGAAAATTGAGCTCCATGTCAAACTTAGCTGCTGTTGTGTTTTGTTAGAAACACCTAATCCTGCAGAAATTGTTTCTGTGTGGAGGAATACTTACATGGGGCAAAGCTATAGCACTGTGATGTGTTAGGTAGAAGTAACACTAGCACAACTCTTTATAAGGAAGACTGAATTAATAGCAGTATTCTATTTTTCAAAGTTCATACGGAATCAAAGTAAAGCTAGGCATCCACTATTACTTATTTGATCTTTACTGGAGCTCTTAAGCAGTTTAATAAGTACAAATTACCTCTGTTATGGGCAGAAAGCATGAGGAAGACACCTGTTCTCCAGTAGGAGGAATTCACAGTCCAAACACACAAGTAACAAAGTTTCTTTTGATCATGCCATGTTAAAAATGAAGGTAACACTTTTATAGAGGTACATGTCAAAAATTACTGTAGGAAAAGTGCACCACCACATCTCATCAGAAGTCCAGTGTTTTGATTATGAAAACACTCTTAATATCTTCCCTGTAATCCCTTAAAGTACAGAAGAACTGATAACTGTTTATTAAAGAAAAAAAGAAGTCAGTGCTTTTTACAACTGATAGTGTCATGGTTTAAGATGTTATTCTACAAACTATTTCTCTTCTAGTTACCTAACAAAGCATGTTAATGCAACTTTAAACAAGAAACGTGAATTTCAGGAGAATAGATAATCACAGGATTCTGTATTTGTAAATCTTTGCACACACTTACACAGATACAGTATGTTCTTGAATGTCAGCTAGTCATATGCAGGAATTTGGGATATTCTATTAAAAATAGTCTGGTTGTGTTTTTCCCTTTCCATCTGCTGCTGAATCCAAGGGAAAAGAAAGTTGAAAAGGGCTAAAAGGAGGAGTGCATGTAAATGCAGTTAGCTC